CTCAGGCAATTCACTCACCTCAGCCTCCCAAAGGCGCGGGATTACAGGCTGAGCCACCGAGCCCGGCCACTGTGGTTTTTATAGTAAAATCTATCGTAACATGTAAACACTACAGCTACTTTTTGGGTATGGAAACTGAGGCATTCAGTGGTTAAACTACTTTCCCAAGATCACACCCTAATGTGGGGCAAAGAGATTCGAACCGGGGCTCAGGCATCAGAGCCTGCAGACTTTACCACATACCATATACTCATCCCTTTCTGACCCCTGCCAGGTGTTACTTCCAATCCCAGGTCCTGCTCTCATTCCCAGGCAGGTCCCCAGAGAACCTATGGTAGCTGGCGAGGACCTGGCCCCTCCCATAATGGCCTTTTTTCATCTCATCCTGCTCCAGGGAAGCTCTGTTTTACGGGTAACTTCACACCCACTCACCCGGCTGTTTGAGAACGACCAGAGTGCCACCAAGATCAGCCCTTCCAGCCAGCGTCCCTCATGGAAAAGATGATGCGATTGGTCCTCCAGCCATGAGGACGAGGCCACCCCTCTGCTTTTTCCCTCCGTGACAGATCACGAGACCACCGAAATCCTCCCATCGGGTGGCTGGCTACCCTCCACCCAGCACGAGGCTGATGCTGGGTCCCTCTCACGGCATGGGCAGGGGTTTCCTCCTGCCTCCCCTAGGCCTGGCCCAGACCCCTTGCTTGTCAAGCACTGGCTGGCTGGCTGGCCAGCCAGAAAGGTGAACAAATGGGCATGGAGAGCGCTTTCCCTTCTAAAGGGGCCCAGCCTGGGGAAGGGAGCCGCCAGCCCAGAAGAAAGTCTTGGAAGGCTTCCAGGAAGAGTTTCCCTCATTGGCCGAGCGGTCCAGCTGCATGCTGTACCAAGGAGGGCTGACAGCTGGCTCTCGGTTCTGGCCCATGTGGAGAGTTGATCACGGGGTCCCGAGGGTGGGGCCCCTGCCATCCCTTTGTCTCACCCAAGCCCCATTTAGGGCACCCAAACAGCCCCAGCTGGACCTGGCATGCTCCTCTCCACAGGCCCCAGGGGCTGGGCCACCAGCTCACGGAGTTTAGGGTCAAACAGTTTCCTCTGAAGTGGAGAAATAAAGCTGGCTTTTCTAGAACCAGACACTGTGCTAAGTGCTTTACATACAGAGTCTGAATCCAATCCTTATGGTGCCCCATTGAGGGAGGTGCTGGTTGGTCCTCCAGCCATGAGAAAGCCAAGGCCCAGAATTGGGCTACAGTGCCCAGTCAGTGTGCATTCCCTCACTCTACTGCCCTCCTGCCTGGCCCTGGCCCTGCGGTCTCAGGTGCAGTTTCTAGCACCAGGAGACCGTGTCCTTTGGGCTCTGGGCATGCCTGGCCCATGAGGGCTCAGGAGGGCCTGGAGCACAGAGTTGGAAGCAGCCAGATCTGAGTTTGAAACCCAGTGCTGCCTCTTGGTCACGGCGTGACGTTAGGTGCGTCACTTCTCCGTGTCACAGGGAAATAATCACCCACACTGCAAGAGTGAGCAGGAAACATGAGAGTGCTCGGGAAATGCCCAGGCCGGTGCCCCAGCCAGGGAGGGCACTGCAGGATCACCCCCTTACTTTTTGGCCTTTCTAAAATAGGCAGGAGTGGGTGGGGCTTGGAGTCTTGGAATTTAGGGAGGGGTGGGAAGTTTCCCAAATTAAAATCAAGGGAGCTAGGTTGTCAGGTGGGAAATACTGTGGTCAAATTTAGGCTGGTTGGATGGGAAGGTGAGTTAAGGGAACACAAATTCCCCTGAGACCAGAACCAAAGGTTATCAGACAGCGGGTGCCTGGGGGCTGGGCTGTCTGTGGGCTCAGCCCAGGGCAGCAGGCCTGCCTGTTTGGGGCTCTCTCCTCACTGACCCAGCAGGACTTCAAGACAGACACTGCATGTGATCCAGGCCAAGTGCCCAGAGCCCTAATGAGGAGGTGCCCCCTGCTGACGGGTGCTCAGCAGGACCGCAGAGGAGACCGGATTTGGGCTCTCTCCAGGACCGGTTCAACCCACTTCCCCCGGACTTCATTCCTAATAGGTAAGGGGACCTTAACCAGGTGCAGGCCAGTGTGCATCTCAGGAGCCCCCTGAAAGTCAGTATATTTGGGGAAGAGCCAGTCCAAAGCTTTCATTCGAGTTTCAAAAGGCTCCAGGACTCCCGCCAGGTCAAGAACGACAACGGCCTGAAGGCCGGATCCACACTAAGACAGAAGAGAAAGAGGGTTAAGGTGACCCTGCCCGGGAAATGTGTTTTGCAGTAAGGAATTCTGGAAGACCAGTGCCCTTTGAAAAATCAAAGGAGGCCAGGCTCGGTGGCTCAGCCTATAATCCCAGCACTTTGGGAGGCCAAGGCAAGTGGATTGCTTGAGCCCGTAGGTTCGAGACCAGCCTGGGTAGCTTGACGAGACCTGGTCTCTACAGTAAATAAAAAACGAGCCGGGCGTGGTAGCGCACGCCGGTAGCTCCGGCTCCTTGGAAGGTTGAGACGGAAGGATCGCCGGAGCCCAGGAGGTCGACGCTGGGGTGGCCGTCAGCATGCCACTGCACTCCAGCCTGGGCAACAGAGTGAGACTCCGACTCAAAAAAATTAAATAAATACATAAAAAGAATCAAAGGAAGGCATCCCAGAAGGAAGGAACATTCAAGGCCTGGCGTGAACAGAAACATCTGGCCTAGAACGCCTCCTCGAACTCACTGGGTGCTCTGCCCTGGGGTGGGGGTGGGGAACACCACGGAGGGGAGCCTCCCTTCTTGAGGGCAGATGACAGGACAGAGCTCTAATGAGATCTAGAGATAGATGTATGGGGAGGAGGGTGAGGCGGTTGGGCGTTCTCGGTGAGCAGTGAACACTGGATAGGTCTTGACCCATATGCTCTTGGGCTGGCCGGTACCCCGAGGCTGCGTATGAACTTCGTGGCCCCCAGGGTGAGGCAGCCTCCCCAACACCGCAGGAGCGGAGCTGGTGCCCACAGGGCCGACCTTGGCGAGGATGGGCAGACCGAGCTCGTGCCCACAGACCAACCTTGGTGAGGACCTGCAGCCCCACAGCGACGCCATGTGGCAGAGAGAAGAAAAACTGCAGCAGAAATAGGCCTAGGAACCCCGTTTCTCCCTACCCTGGAACTGACCCCCCAGGGGTCCCATGGTGAGTAATGAGTAATTCAAAGGTGGAAGGCTCACGAAGGAGACCCTGGGCTTCTAGATAACGAGGCAGGTGGGGGTTCGAGCAATTAATTGGGGAAGGATGGGACAAGCCTGGCACCTGGTCACCCGGTGGCCATGAGCACCGGCTGCGCCTCCCTCAGCAGAAGGGCGGGAAAGATCCTGGCAGGGTAGGAACTCTGGGTCTGGAGAGGCTGCGAAGGGAGGACCGAGAAGGAGGAGAGCTTTGAGTCCTCGCCAACAGGAGGAAAGCCCCGTTAGCCAGGGGGAAGCCCTGGCTGGGAGTCAGAAAGCAGAGTCCAATCCTGACCTTGCATCTGACCAGCATGCTGCTTCAGGTGAACTGCAGCTGGACGCATTGCCTGCCTTGGGCTCCAAGGACCCCAGAGACAGACACGGAGGGGTCATGCCAGGAGGTAAAGACTGTTGGTGAGTTT